GCGCCGAGCACCGCGTCGGGCGGTGCCCAGGGTCCTGCCGGTCGCTGCCGCCTCCCGGACGCGCCCATGAAGCTCATAGTGCCCAAGCAGCGCTGTAAGTAACGCCCGGGCCGGGTCGGCCAAGGCGCTGCTGTGCCTTGGATGGTGGGAAGGCTCTGTGGTCTTCGTGCGTGCTCCTTCGCCTTCCCCACGCACTGTCAGAATTAAGAGAAAAGAAGACCTGGGAGCTGAGTACGAGTGATTCTGACAGGGAGGGGGAAAAAAAGTATGTTGCCAACAGAATAAAACTGTAACATGCTCCTTTTGAACGCCTCTGGCTTTTGGTTAGTTGATTTGGGAGGTGTTAGTGAATTATCTTTAATGTTTTGTTTTCAGGCTGCAAGTCTCGGGTATCCGTATTTATAATGTATTTAACAGTATAAAGTTTGATTAACGACATCTTTTACTTGTAACCTAAGTTACATGGCTAACTTCTGTGTAGGTATGGAGCCATTGAATAGTTCCACGGTAAGCTCTACGTAAAATAATACAATGGAGAAAGCACTCTGTTTCTTCACACTCCCACTTCACTAGCCCTTCCAATAAAGCCAACAAATGTTTGCTTCTTTGTTAAAAGTTCAGAATGTTCTGAAAGAGTAATCAGGAATAGTCAGGATCACAGCTACCCACTGCCAAAACTTAAAGATGTTTCTACTCAGTAGGAAGTAGAGTGCATTCAGCTAGTCTGGATCGCTTTCTTTCTTTCTTTTGAACTGAATACTTAAAACTGTCTAAGCAGAACAGAATAGTTAGAAACAGTCATGAAGAGCTGCAGCTTTCAGAGGGCTACTTAGTAGCCAGTACGTTGTCCAGCTTTTTAAATGTTTTTGCTGAGCTACGCTTACCAGTTTCCCTTAGAATTTTCTCTGTGTTGAGTAATCATGTGGTGCTTACAGTACTTGTTGAAAGTTAAGTTACCAAATTGATGACCATATCATTCTCTGTCACAAACTGGGTTAGTCTTTGTCCAGTTTCACACTTTTATTCAGCAACAAAACCCACAGAACTTGGACTAACTCACGTTTTGATTTGGTGTAACTAAGTCAGCACTTGCATATCAAACTCTTTGTAACAGTGAAAAGCTATTTCCAAGTAAGAATAAGGCTTTCAGGCCCATCAGAATGAAGAGCATCAGTGACTGGCAGTATTGCCCAAAATGTGTGACAACCGAGTCCTTTTTAATTTATATGGCTTATTTTGTAGAAAAATTAATTTGCAATTATTAGTCTTGCAGGAAAATATGATAGCACACTGTCACCACCTTAAAAAAATAATTAAATTATAATTAAATTATACTCAGCTTCTCCTGGTACTGCATATCCATCTCCAGTGAATACTACACAGTCCCGTTTTACTGGTTTTTGTATTTAATCCTGGCTTCTGCAGATGTTTGTTTTGTGCTTATGGATACATTGCAAAACGACAAGCAGTTGCCACACGGCATGTAAGACTTCAGAATTGATTGTGGGGTTTGCTTTTGTGCTGTGGAAAAGATAATGAGGTAATTGGCATTTCCCAGTATTTCAACAAATGAAGCCTATTTTTCTGCAACAATTATTCCTTTAAATCCTTATAAATTATATGTTTGCTTGACTGCTTTTACTTTCTGTCAACGTGAGGTAAAGTTCTATATTCCCAAGTTTGTTTTCCGTTTGAGAAAGGAAGATTCCCTGTGAAACCAGCGTGCTTTGCTGAGTGTGGTGAGAATGGATCTGAGGACCGATTTATATCCTTTTTGACTCGCATTCTGCTGAGAAGCTTGTCTTTGCTTTGTGTTTCCTTAGCTGAACTAGGTGAGTTATCAGGGATATTAGGCGTATTTCAGTTTTCTGGTTCAAATTACTAGTGCAGAACCTTTGTGATACTAAGGTCTGCATTACCGTTCTGCAGCACAACGCAGCATAATGAATGCAGAAGAATACCTGTTCTGATGTCTCGCATTGTGAAGTGCTTCAGAAGATAATAAAAGTGTGAACTCCGCAAATTTCAAAAGCCTCCTAAACTGTCATGTTGTTCAATTTAAATGTGATCTCTGAACAGAAGAAAGAAAAAGAGCAGTTAAGAGCTTCATCGATCCCTATTGAAACAGCATTGTAGCCAAGTGAGGACAAAGATTTCAGAGCAGCAGTTAACTAGACTGGTGCTTCACAGCATTATTCTACATCAGGCAGGGAAGAAGCCAGCTGGACATCTTAATTCTGTTGCTTTTCTTAAGTTAGTATAAAGCTTTGGGGTCTGTTCCAGTCAGTATCTTATCTCACCCCAAGTCACGTGGTAGCTGTTAGGGGTCAAAGAATGTGTGTTTTGAGGTAGTGTGACTGTTTACAGCTAATATAGATTATAGTTGTCATGGATAATTTCTAAACTCTCAGAGCTGTAGCTTCACAATAAAGAAGGCTTTTGGCCAATATTGAGGTTGTTACTGTGATGTTTGGCTGCAGCATGCTCATGTAGTACCACTTAAGGCCAGATGGAAATAAAGAAAACCTAGGCTTTTTCACCTGTGGTGATGTTACATATGGGATGCTATGATTATCTAGCCTGCTTTAGTGAAGACTACAGAAGTGAAAATGGTTTTGGTCTTGCTATTGTTTGATGCCGTGAATAAATACGATGTTATTGGTTACCTAAATTTTGTCCAAGACATTGGAATATCCCCCAATCTTTTTAATCCTAAAAAGCATGTCACCTGAAGGAATTCTTAAAAGTAAGTCTCCAGCTGCTTTTAATGTAGTTCGAAGTGGGGGTTGCTGAAGGAATAAAACTGATCATAACAAACAGAACTAGTTGGTGTGTTGTGGTCCAAACTGCATATCCAATTTATCAACTAGATAATGCATTTCCAAAAGGAATGGGAAAATTGAACTTATCACTTCCATCGGGATAGGTGCTATTAAAGAATGAGATTCTCCTTAGCTGATCATTGCTTCTTGTAGCTTTGTAAGTTGGGTTTTTATTTGTGAGAGTTTTTTAGTGAAGCTATACAGTCTAGGTAGTGACCTAGTCACCTAGTGTTATCTTCAGAAATCAGTTTGTGGTAATATGACTGCTTGCATGTGATGGTCACACTTGTTTAACAAACAGCTCTGTGCTTTCAGGTTTGTCATTTTTGGTGGTTTGTTTATTTTTCGGTTTCTTTCTTTCCTTTTCTGATGAGGAGGCAGACATTCAATAAGGCCTTGCTGCTGAAAATGAACTGGAAGGCATCACCTGATATATGTGCATGATTTATTTAGCTCTAGCTTTGTAAGGCTTGAAGCAACTTCCATTACTAAACAGATAAAATTAATTTTTAAGATATATATTCTATTTTTGTTTAAAGAAAACAAATGCTTCCATTTTACAATGTGTTTGGATTGCTTAAAATAGGAAGGAGTGATTAAAAAATGATGTAAGCTATTACCAGCTTTTTTTTAATAAAAAGCAGCTTTCAGAAGCTGTGAGAATACTATCTCATGTGTGTCTCTTGTTTTGATCTCCCCTCGCCCCGTCACTATTTTTTGTGTTCTCTCGCCTCTTCCAATTAGAATGGGAAGTTCTTAGATCATCAAACTGTCAAGCAATGCAAATTAAATGTAAATTAAGTAATAAGGTTTCATCATATGTGTGTCCAGGAAGAAAAGCAGCTGAACCTAAGATACTTCATCTGAGATATAGATGACTAAGACATCATAGTATTGATACCACCATTCAAATTATTGATTGAAAAAAAAAAATGGAAGTACTGTACCTGTATTTGAGGAAATAAATGTCTTGTAAGAGATGTGTAAGCTGAAACAGTTTTGGCAAAAGAAAAAAACTCCTGCATATTGGTCATGAGTAAATCTAGGGTCTAGGTAGAGAGAAAAAGTTCTAATCATCAGGATTCAGGCACAGTCTGTAAGAGCTGAGGGGTAAAAAGAGTCAGCCCAACCTTATGTTGTGCTTGTTTAAACATAGGAAAAGGATTACTCTTGGTTATCCTCTTTAATGGAGGGGAGATGTTACTTAGGGACTCAAGAGTTTCTCTTCATTATTGCTTCCCCTGAGCTCTTGTCCATGTGGAGCAGGGACACCCCCTCTTTACATTGTATGTTAAGGGTAGGGTTTTTAAATATCAAATGTGTTCAATTGTGAATATAATAATGCCTTATAGGAATAGCCCTCTAGGTTCATACTCTCCAAAGTGTGTGCAGAAACTAGGTAAAATGTGTCATGGAATTTCTCATGAGTGAACCTTTCCCCCAGATAGCACAGCTGTTGGTGTGCATCAGATTACCTAATTATGCAATGCTGTTGATACCTTCTGTTTGCATTGTCACATGCTTCTGCAGCAGATCTTGGAGTAATGGAGATTTTTATCTCAAAGTAACAAACCAGTAAGTAGTTGGTGCAGCTTATTAGCATAAAGAGAATTAATTTTCATAAGATAAGTAGGGTCTTTGATTTATGCTAGGCTTTTAAGAATGCATAAGTCATCTTGACACTTTCTGTATCAATTTCATCGGACATAGAGCTAGATTTTATAGTGTTGTTACTTTTTATGACTTACTGCTGTGTAGCAATACAGTAGAATAGTTCTGTTTTCACCACAATAATAGGTTGCATTGATCCAATACTGATGGCTGAGAAGAGAGAAATTGGCTCATAACAGTCTTACAAGACAATTTTAGTTAAGTGCGTTTTTTACACTGTGAAAGCATTTCTGCAACGTATCCATTGTCTTCAGTTTTCATGGTAAGTGACACAATTTTGAACAACTGTTGTCAGCCCAAGATGTGGATGTGATGGATTTCACTTTCCCCTCCTTGCTTTTCTGGCTTTTAGGAATTCAACAAATGCTGAGTTTTATTCAACATTTATTCTGGTTATCAATCAAATGCTGAATTTCCAGTTTAAACCAAACAAAAAACCTGAACAACTCTAAAAAACCTCCACAATTTCCCCTCAAGTCTGTGGAGACTGTATCAGCACAAATACCCTTCTTTCTTCATACCCCCAGTTTTTAGCAGTGAGGACCCTAATAATTTTGGTGGCCTCCGTATGGTCTTACTCCCTGTATTCAGGAGGTGGCTAAACCATGGAGCACCTTGCAGCCTGGATGTATGCTTCCATTACCACTGCATTCAGTGGTGTCAGGAAAGTTGAAGTGTGTATGTGCCAGCTAAGGTGGGGTATCTGAATATACTGAAAAGAACTGATGGAACTTCACTGGTGCATTTTGTTTTGGAATGTATTGATAGTAACAAAAGGTACAATGAATAAACCTTTTAAATAATCACTGGAATACAGAAGTGTTTCTACTGTCACTCCAGTTTTATGGAAGCTGTATGAATTACAGTGGGACTTGTCAGGAACTTTGAGACTTGGGTTTTGTCCTAATTGGTCAGCCAGTCAAAATAGTTGTCTTTGTTGCAAGTGAGTTCAACAGACAGCTGGTGTGAGAAGCTGCGAAGAAAACTAAGCTGCTGTTCTGTGTAACTAAAATACTGGTTGTTGTGGACTGATCTTATGCTCTTTATTTGTGCTGAAGAAAACTGCTGCTGTTCTAAGAGCAAAGTTCTTTCTGCAGCTCTGGCTTGCAACAAAATGAAAAGAGCTTAGATTCACAGAAAGAAGAAACAACAACAACAAAGTGTTTTGATATTTCTAGTGGCTTTTTAAATGTGAGCATTATCTGTACCTCAGTCAAGAACTTATTCTTTGTTAATGATTTGGTTATCCTCAAAATGTTAAGATATAAAATAGATGTCTTGGCAGTCATTTATGAGTAGCTCTCAGGTGTTAGCGCTTTTATTGTTGGATGTGTGTTCGATAGGAGGTTGGAATGCTTCTTCCCTCTTTTAAAGATTAAGCCTTACTATAGCTTTAAAGCAACTGCTGGTACAGGTAGATTGTAGCAGATTTTATGCCCTTGATGTAGCATATTGGAAGTTGGCTTACACTTAGCTGCAGGCTGGTTCTGTATCGCACAGTCCAACCATGCTGCTTTTAAAATTAAACTTCCTGCCTGCATAGTTAAGATACATCTGAGGAGGAGTCTTACTGTTCCAGTGGGACAAGTAATTAAAGTTTTCAGCAGCTTAAATAAAGATTTGTGAAAATCACTAATGGAGTTGGCATCCTGAGCTCTAATGCATTGTGGTGTTGGTAGTGTGGACCATACCATTCTTTTAAATGTTTACCTTGTACTTCCAAAAGTGTTTGAGTTGCAGGATAGTGCATGATAATTATTCCCCCCCCCCCCCAAAAAAAAAAAAAAATAAAGCCTATTTAAAAACACCTGGTTTGCATTTTTCCCATTTCAGGGAGTAGTCGTGCATCTGTATAGTATGTATCTTCCCAAACATCAAATTAGACTTCACTTCAGTGTCTTTGTGTCTTGCAGCTTGCAGGATATGGAAAAAGAAGTTAGACATTAAAACAGATAACAGTAGGTGCTCTTAGAAAAAATGAACAATAAGCAAGCTACTTCAGGGGAGTTTATGCATTTTGTCTGTCTTGTCCTTAGGGAAAGGGGGAGAAACTGATGATTCAATTATTTGGCATACAGCAAAGGAGGAAAATAACCTTTTTAAACATGACATTTAAGGTTTGGTTTAAGGGGTGGAGGGCGTATTGACAATTGTGAAATTGAAGTTTGAATTGGCCAGCCAGACAAGAGTGATGCTGGGACCTTTGTAAAAGAAGACACTAAGCTCCTTTCAGGCTGAAGTTGAGTAACCTAATAGTAATCTGTGATTACGTGAGGAAAACTGTGTGGTCAGTACCTCCTATGCTTGTTAAAATCTTTGCCCCAGGTTGCTTACATTTAGGTTCACTGGCAGAAAAATCAGTAATGCGTATGGTATCCATGGTTTGGAGTTTGTAGCAAAACTAAGTTGGAATGTCCTAGCTGGTAGAATCTCATTTCTACCAAGTCTGCCTGATTATCCCTAAAAGCAGGGAAGTGACTGTGACTACTATTTCAGAAATGTATTTTAGATGTTAGCCACATACTCAGTACTTTTCATTTCATTTCTCTAGAAACATTACTGGCTTCCTTCTTCTGCAGTACCTGTGTGTAGGTTTTGTATTCTCACCTCTTATTGCTTCATGAAGTTACCTGGTTTAGGATTTAAAGTGTGTGCTTGCATATACAAGCAGAGCAGGCAGACCAATCTAGTTGAGTTAGTATCTTATGCCTGCATGTTCTCCATACTCATTTTCTCTTGCTATTAGCAGAACAAAGGCTTCAGTTGATCTAGGCTGGCTGTGGCAAATACATATATGCTGAGAAGCAAATAGTGGCATTTCTTGTATAGTTACATAATAGGCAAACACATACAGCAACAGGTATATTTCATGTTTTCTCAAAATGATTGTTGGTGGTAAATATGGGACTTCAAATACCTTACTCTCTTTCTGCTAATATATGTAAGTGGTGTAGTTCCAACAGAGCTGCTAATTCTGGTGGGTTGAAATCTGGAGACTCGCAGCATAATGGGAGTTATGTATTGCTGCTTAGACAGAGCCTTGTGACAGTGGAAATTCCAACTGGCTTTGGAAAGGCAGTTGTAGACGTTACACAGTGGCAGTCTTACTTGAGAAATCTTATTCTCCTGTTTGGTTGTTTCTTTCTCCTACTCTCCTTAGTTTATTTTAAGAATTGGTGCTGGGAGTCAATTGGGCGAAGTGCAATAAATGTGCTCTGTCATGAGGTGCTGTCTGAGGAATAAATGTTTTCCTGGGAAAAATATTTTCATTTTATTAAAACCCACTTCTCCAGAGAAGAGTATCTTGAAATTTTCTTTGTTCTCTTTCTTAACGGGGGTCATTGTGACTGTACTAAATTGTCATTCAGCAAATGCTTTAAGTGATAGGGATAACCTCTGTATTTATAGTGACTTTCTCTTTCTTCCTCCCCTTGTCCTTAGCATTTCCATGGTTTGGAATGGATATCGGTGGAACGTTGGTTAAACTGGTCTACTTTGAACCTAAGGACATTACTGCAGAAGAAGAGCAGGAGGAGGTGGAAAATCTGAAAAGCATTAGGAAATACTTGACCTCCAATACAGCTTATGGTAAAACTGGCATTCGTGATGTCCATCTTGAACTAAAAGATTTGACTATGTGTGGACGGAAAGGAAACCTGCACTTCATCCGCTTTCCCAGCTCTGCCATGCACAGGTTCATACAGATGGGTAGTGAAAAGAACTTCTCCAGTTTGCACACTACGCTCTGTGCCACAGGAGGTGGAGCTTACAAGTTTGAGGAAGACTTTAGAACGGTATGTGAATAGTTCATATGGGTTCAGTGGGAAGTACTTTGGAGAAGAAGTCATAGGAGTCCTATTAAAACTTGCAGAGAAAACTTTTTTGTAAGTCCATCTTAACTGGTTAAGACTAACAGAATCAATTCACATTTGTCAATCAGTGGAATTGCTGAGAGCATGGAGGGGACAGGAGAGGGTATTCTGCTAAGTATTAACTGTGCAAGATATCTTCAGTAAATGGGGGTTTTTTTTAGAGTACAGCTGTGATGATCAGATACTTCATAATTAACTGGGGGTGTGTTATGACAGCCTAGAACCTGAGACTACAGGTACTCTTCTTTTCAAACTGGCTACCTATAAGAAAACCAGAAATGAAGCCATGCAGGCTGGAGATTAGGTTGGGGTTTTCTTCCCCTTGTACTGATCTTCAAGCAAACATAAGTCAAGAGCCTGGAACACTAAGCATGGTGCAGGAGGAGTAACAGTAGCAGCATGAAGAAAAGCAGTTCATGATCCCCTAGAACTTAAAAATAACCTCTCTAGGCGCTCCAGAAGGTGATGTAGATCTGATGTATTGGGATGCTGCTGTTTGTATAAACTTCGGCAGTAGTCCTAGCTCCCAAATGACTTCACTGAGTGCACTGCAAAAATTGATTGTGGTGACAGAGGCATAGAGAGGCATTGTACAGACTGTATTAGAGAGAACTAGTCATTTGAAAGACAGTTGCCTGTTGTGTATGTGTCTCAACTGGAGCATATCTCCATTTATTTTCTGTAAAAGAATGACTAATCTGCCTGTACTAGAGCAGTCTCACTAAGATTAATGTGAATGATTTACTTGGCAGACAGGTCTGATATTTGTGTTCCGAACTTTTGACCTGATCTTGAGGGTGAGAGATGGCTGCTGGGTATGACAGGTTATATCAGCTGCGTTTCTGTCTCTGCTTCAGTCTAGGGAGCTATTATACTGGTTCACCAACTGCTGTTGAGTGCAGTCCTTGGCTTTGTGTGCTTTGTGTTTAACTCCAAGCATCTATTCCTGCAGTGCAAGAGGTTTTTAATTTGTCAATATCCCTCACCTAACAGATGACCAGGATCCTAATGGGGAGAGAGAATTCTGAAGATCAACATGAATCCCAGCTGTTATAGTGTTGTATAATCATCTTCAGTAAATGTTGGACATGGAAGCAGTTAGTCTACTGAAGTACTAGCAAGTTTCTGAATCGCTGTGGTAGTCCACTACTAGTCACAAATTTCTTGTCCTTTAGGTTGATTGCAAGTCCCTCATGTTAGAGTCTACTGATGATTGAGTCCTCAAAAGTTTTAGTTTGTCTCACAATGTGTAAGGATGTTGTCACCACACTAGGAGGTGAGTTCTAGCGCTGGTCAGTGTGGTCTCCATTCAGGTTTCCAAGCATCCTTCCATGCATCTGGGGGATGATTCAGGTCATGTTCTCTAGTAACAATGGGAGGTCACTTTGAGGCTTTCTGAAGAGGCTGACTATCCCTTTGGAATGGTCAGTCTTCCCAAATTCATCTCTCCTGTATGTTGTACTAGGAGCTAGAGTTGCTTACTTAACAAGTTCATGTCCCTTGCTCCGCCAGCTGTAGAATTGAACTGGAAGATACCTGGTGGCTATCACAGCATTGTATTTCTCTCCATAGCTTTGGCTTTATCTGGTATAAATACGCAGCTTACAGTGAGGGACAAGTCTCTGTAATCTCTGTTGCAATATACTTAATGTAGCACTGGAAGCCATAATTGAAGTTGAGGCTGTTTTGCTAGCTATTGTACAAAGATATGAGGTCACACAACAAATTACTGGTGGACTTAAGCATGAATCCCACATCACTGCAGTGTTGGTTAACATTCTGTGTGCTGCAACACTTTAGAGGTAGTTTAAGAAAAACACCGTAGAAGCTGGCTGGGGTGTTTTGTAGCAATCAATGAAGTGCACTCACACGTAAGTGAGTGCTTTGGGCATCTCTTCGTACAACTACCCAGCTCCACACCTTCCTTTATAGCAAGTATTTTTTGGCTCACTGTAACACCCATAGAGTATTACAGAAGCACAATACTATCCATTACGTGAAGGCTTGCTTGCTTAATCTCTCTCAAAGGGCTGAGTGTCCTGGGTACTAGCACTTAAATTGTCACACTTCATTAGCCATTGTAACAGCAGCTGGCTATCTCAGTGTGTTCTGCTGACTGTAAATTGACATTGGACAACAGCTTCAGGATTGCTCTTTCAAAGCATTGAAATGTCTGTTCCAAATATTTAATCACTCTAATGCACCTGGTGAAGTGGAGAATATGTGCCAAGTTGTGCTGTTGCAGGATTCAATGTTGTATAATGCCTTATATGGAGGAGACTTTAGATATTCCTGTTTCTGTTACTTGGGAGCAAGTGGAAAACCTAAAGTATATTTGTGAATGTTGTTAATTTCATTAAAAAATCTGACTAAATGTTATGAAACTCATGAAACTGATATAGATCACATGCTTTTGTTCTGGCCCTTGATTTCTCAATGTACATGCTTTTAAGTTACTTGTCTGTCATGGTATTTCTTAAATGCTTATGGGACTTTCAGGATTGCATAGATTTAGGACAAATCATCCAACATACTGCAAAACAGCATTCAAATCCCAAATAAGGAATCCTTCCAAAGTAACAGCAACTTCTTCTCCCTAAAACAGACAAGCAAGCACCCTTTTACTCACACGTTCCAGTGTCTAATTTCAAATCCCTAAACGAGTTAGATAGGTTTAGTCTAGACATCTTACTTTTGTGTATTATAAAATAAAACAGGGAAGCATCTTCTGTTTACCTTAAGCCTGTTTTCTGTGCCATAGAAAGGCAAGTAAATCTACAAAGCTAGCTAGGTTTAGCTATCTGACCTCCCCCTCATGTGAACCACAGTGCTGGATAGTAGGAGACCTGGAAAAGTCACCAAAAACTGTGTTGTAACTGCCAGCAGTAATAATCAGTAGCCTGTCAAATCATTTAATTCATTCTTAAGATCTGAATGCTTCCCCTAGAAGTAGGAAGACAGACTCTACTCATTAAACTGGACCACAGAAATAATTTTTAGCAGCCATATGGTTATACTCAATGAACAGCATCAGTAAGTAATTCACTAAAGGACTGTTTCCAGCTTAGAGTAGGTTTTTGTTTTGATTTGGCTTGTTTGTTGTTGAGTTTTGTTTGTTTTTTCTTCCTTCCTTTCCAAATGACTGATTTTTATGTCTGGTTGACTTTACTTTCAGATAACAGTGGTGTTAAAACATAGATGACTATGTTCATCTATGATATGTCATCTAATTCTGATAATCTTTATCCAGCTACGTGCCGTCATCTTACATACTCTGTAAATGCTCAAGTAACATCAATTCCCTGAAAGTAAAGAGTATATTTGCGTTTGTACCTGTGCTATAAATCTCTTTATACTTTGGCTCCTCCATGATAGCGCACACACATTACTTGCACGAGAGTATGCCGTTAATATAATGAGGAATAAATGATTAAGGTGTCACTCAGTTTTTTAAAGCAATTCAATGTAAAGGATACATAGGAGATGAGGGAAGAATGGACTATTAAGACTTTTGTCTAAAACCTGCTCAGTTGCAAAATTCCTCTCTATTACAGTGGCTCAAAGGTAGGATCTTTTGTATTCCTTTCCTGAACAGACACCGACAGAAATTTTACTGTCCTGTGTTGTAGGATGGGTAAGCTGTGTAACTCTGGGTTAGTAGAAGATACTTTAAAATCTTGTTGCACCTAACTTGCTTGGGGAGGCTGGATGCTGCTGCTCAGGCCATATATGCTGGCCCGTAGTGTGTAGACCGGGCTGGAGTTGGAAGCTGCATCCAGAGAATGGGTGAAGTAAGCATGACACCTGCTGTTGACACCACTGCAAGAAGCTGGGAAACTCTTCAGAGGGAGTGAGGAGAAGCAATGTGTATTTCTTGCCTATCAAGAGAGGGAAGAGGTTCTTTACACCTAGCTGGGCAAGAGCGCAGATTCTCTGCAGAAGATCTCGGACTAGTGCTTTTTTTTTTTATGCTGCAACAAATGTTGGGCTTCCCCCTTATTTGCATTTGACTTTGTCTTGTTTGAATGTGAGTGGGTGCTTCCCAGCCTCAGGGTGTGGAATCAGCTGGGGTACCTCATTTGAGCTCAAAAAGAAGCAGGGCTAGGCATTCAGGCAAAGATAATCAAAATCTAAAGGAAGAAAAGTATGTCTTTACAAAAGTGGGGGAGACGGGAGGAAAAGCTAGACTGAAAGCTATTGTAAGAAATAAAAACTGGAGCAATGCCCAGAAGGCATATAAAAGCCCCAGTAATATAGTAAATGAGGCTGTTGTAATTGATGATAATTAAAAACTTACAAGACATTAGTTCCTAGCAGTTTCTTGCAGGAAAAAAAAATCATGTATCTGATTGAAAGTCCAAGAGACAGGTGAACTCATAATTGCATCTAGGTTTGGACATTTCTATGCTCATCAAAAGTTGGTAACTGAAAATTCAAACTGACTGAAGTCTTGGGCTGGAATTTCATTGAAAAAGATGTCTGTATACCAGTCTTGACCTGTTAGGCTTCAACCCCACTGCATAGATGTGCTCACTGCTTCCTTGCTGTGTTGCACCTCCTTGTAACCATGGTTGAAGTCCTGTGTCCCTCCTTTAGATGGTCGCAAAGAGTTTGGTGTGAGGTGCAAAGTGTTTTGTTCTTTCCCCTCCCTCAATATTTAAAAAAGTCTGAAATAAAGAGGAATTTCTGCAGTGTGGAAAAATTGGTCTTGTGGAAAAATTGGTCTTATGAAAAATGTACGTATGGTTTGCCTGTAACCATCATAAATTTTCCCTCCAGGGCCTTGTATGCTACTTTGTTCTGAAGCTCTTCCTTGCATAGCACAACTTTCTGACACAAATCTTTTGGAGTGCTAAATTCTATAGTTACAGGAGTGCAGAGCAGGGTAATTGACCATCATGCTCTCTGCCCTCACATTAGTGCTTGTAAAGGGCTGGAAAATAGCTGCAAATGCATTTTGTAAAAAGTTGTAGGAAAAACATAAAATTAAAACTTGCTTCTACACACAGCTCCTGGTTTTGTTCTGCGTTTTTACACATAAACTTCTGTTCCTGCAAGAAGCAGCAGTTTGAACAGCCGAAAGATGAGGACTAGTAGAGTGTGGTAGGTCAGGTCATGCTACCAGAAAAAAACCCAAACATTTGCCTAATCACACATGAGTTACAATGTTTACAGGCACATCTATTTGGTAGTTCAGTTTTGCTGCTTGAGCAAAGGCACAAATAAAGAAAAGGCAATTCTATATACAGGGAGAAGTATTGGGAATTGTGATTCGTGTTCTATCATGGCTTCTTGTGCAAGACTGGGTTACTGCATTTCTTGCAACTATGCCCTCATTTCTATTTAGAAACTAGTGCAGTTGGTGCTCACTGGGTTATTTGGAGCCTCAGAGGTCTAGTGGCTGCAGAGCTCATGGTTCTTTGAAGGCGGGTTGACATGGAATACTGATGCCAGTCTTGCTCCTTCCAAAAATGAAAACCAGACTGCTGCAACAATGCAGGGAAATAGTTTTTCTGCCTGCTATGAATATCATACATGAAAAAAAGCAATCACAGGGCTTTTCTGCTTACAGTATATCAGCTGTTAAATATAGCACAGAGCTATAAAAAGCAGAACAAATTCTATTACGTCTTTTATACATGGAGGGCTGGACTCCATGTAATAAAACTGCTATGCTTAGTGCTTGAAAAAGAACCTTTGATTAGTTTTCTTTTGTTCTGTCCTTATGGGATTGGTGGGCTTAGTGGAGACTTCGTAGAAACCAGGATTTTGTCTATGTTTTTGCAGTGACACCAGAAGTGTTTTCCTCTTAGATTTGTATTGCTGGCTCGTGTCTTGCAGAGTCTCTCACTGATGCTTATGTATTTCTACAGATATAACATGGATGAGACAAAACCAGCTCGTGGCTGTGTGTTTGACTTACGGGAGAATGGAGGTTTTGAAAGTAGGGGCTGTAAATCTACCAATGACTTTTCTTTATATAGCAGGATTCTGTTTCATAGCAAGTTTATGCGTGCTATTTATCTGTGTTAGATCATGTTTGGTCATGCAGCATTGAGCTTATACAGTAAGATGAGGAAATTGAATGTACAGCACATAACCTAGAGAGAGATCATGGTTAGTGTAGAATCCTTCTGTATTATGACTAGCTTTGTGCAATGTTAGTTGGGTTTTGATGAAACAAATCCTTTAACAAGTGATGACTTAGTGGGCTCCATACAATGTCCACTGTGAGAGAGAGACTACATGAAGCATTTATTATGTTAATGCCTTATACTGTATATCTCTTAGAGCTTTTCCTCTCAGTCTAATAGCAAGAAATTGCTGAAATACAAGATACTTGCAAAGCAGCCTTAAGATTTTTGTAATGTTTCTTTAAAAATCTTTTCTCCTGATTCATGTTCATTCTTTTTATTTGCTGGCTAAATGATTCAAGTCTTTTGTGCTGCATTTCTGCAATTGTAATCTGTGTAGCCATGTGGTAATCAAGAAAAAAAACACAAAGGGATTTTAAAAGTTACAGGAGGAAATACTTACACAAGAAGAAATTAATTCCACCTTTCTCTGTTGTGCTATGAATAATTGGATCTATATTGAGGTCTTTGAGACTGCTGGTTTGGGGTTTTTTAGTCTTATTTCTTTTCTGTGGTTCCAGGGTTTGTGGACTAGCGAGTGTAACAAAAAGTCAGATGCAAAGAGTAGAATGGCTTTCAGTTAAGGCAAGTTAGAGCTATGTACAAGTAGAGAAATACTTAAGGGGAGAGATTTAAATAGCTCAAAAGAATGTAACCTATTGGCCATGCCTGTTATGCAGAAATATCTTGCCTCTTTATAGTGACTTATTATAGCTTCCAGAATTAAAAATAGGAGGTAGTCAGCCTTGTAAATCTTCTCCATTAACTGTTATAAAAACATCCTGCAACATGCAAATATTTGAGAACCAGCTCTGTACTTACAACTTCCTTTTGTTCCTAATACCCTGTAGCGTTTTCTGCTAGAAAGTAGAGTTAGGTAAGACCTACTTTTGAGGATGCAAATGACCTCAGGGTTTGGGTGGACAGCTACTATTTATTTTTTTCCTCCCTCCCTCTCCTCTCCCTAACAGGAGTCTAAGCTCAATGTCATCTGGAAAGGAGACTTTCTAAACAGATTGTCACTGTATCCTATTTCAAGAAAGGGATGCAATTTCTAATTCTAGTAAACAGAATGTTATGGCAAGTAGGCACGTCTGTTTAAATACAATCACAGGTGACCTGTGAGATCTCAGACGGAATGTCCTTTTTAAGCTCTTATTAATTGTTTTTCTGCCTTCTGTTACAGTTATATTTCTGCAAATGTTTTGCTGGGGGCATGGGCCTGACAATATTTTTGGTTGGTTATGGTTTTTTTACATTGTTTTTCACCAAACATGGGGAATCCTCTTTTTTTTTTTTTTTTCTAATGAAGCATAGAATCATAGAATAGGCATCTTATAGTGCTCATCATAGTTTATAAAAATAGCTGTCTTAGATTACTACTGACGCATACTTGAAAAAATCAGATCATTTAAGCATAATCCACTGCGTATTTAATGCATATTAACATAAACATGTGCACTTCATAAGGCTTTAACTATTTTGTTCTTTAACTGAAGTTTCTTGCTCTTAATGTTTCTATTGAAAATTTCATTAAATTGCTGGGAAATGTAGTTGGATGATAAGTTATAGCACTTTGCATCCTGTCCAAAAGCTGCAGGACACAGCTACCCTTGGCATAGGATAAGGGGAAAGAAATTTATTGCTTCAGAATACTGAGGGGGGCGGGGGAGGGAAATGATTCCTGCTTGCAGAGCCGGGAATGTCTCAAAGGCAAAGGAACTCAGCGATGTTACTGTGCAGCATGTCATTGTTTTGGGAGGTGCCCACTGTTGGACAGATAACAAACTTTTTTATTTTGGCCTTCATGCTTACACAGATCTTTGTACTGTTTAAATAGCATAATGTGTTACTATTAAAGTGATCAAAGTGCTTCAGCGGAGCCTTTTGTCCTCAGTGTTGTATTATACTAGGAAGTGTTTGTTTATTAATTTCCTGTTGCTGTATTCCAGATTGCTGATCTACAACTTCATAAACTGGATGAATTGGACTGTTTGATCCAAGGCCTCCTTTATGTTGATTCTGTTGGTTTCAATGGCCAACCAGAGTGCTATTATTTTGAAAATCCTACAGATCCTGAACAATGCCAGAAAAAGCCTTACTGCCTTGATAATCCATATCCTATGCTGCTGGTTAACATAGGCTCAGGGGTCAGCATCCTAGCTGTGTATTCTAAGGACAACTATAAAAGAGTCACAGGATCCAGGTAACTTTAATTCAGTGTTCTTTTAATTTTGTTTTCTCCTTACTAATTGAACAGATAGAACCAAACAGTGTGACTAGTAGGTACAGCCCCAAATTGTGCTTGTTTTTTTATTTCTTTTAAAAGCCACTGGTAGCAAGGCTGGAAATACCCTAGGATTCCTTCAGAGAGGAGGGTCTACATCAGGGTAATCATTGGTCCATTCAACTTGAGATCTGTCTTACTCTCTTTGTGGTGTTCTTACCTGCATTCTGTCTCTTGCTGTGAATTACGAAAATAAAGCTGTCAGAGTAAATGAATCTTCTTTCCCCTGCTTTGGTCATCCAGAACAGCCAGAGCAGTGAAAGAAAAATGTTTGGGTTAAACAAAAACCTCTTGGTTAGTAGTTAGGATGAATCCAGGATATAGGAAAGCTTGTAGGTTACCTGGTACTACTGGATTTTGGCAGAGGGATCTCACTCTTTCTTGTTGCTGATTGCACGGGTCTTTGGACCATGCTGGTAGATTAAGAAATGCCCGCATGTAAAGACTAGAACCTGATTGTATCTTGTCTTTGTCCTTAGTGTGATTTCAGCCTGCATTAGCTCCTGCTCTCTGAAATGATTTGTAAGGTACAGCTGAGTTGAAATGGTCTCTGGGCTATGTTCAATAACAGATTTAGATGTGACTGCTCTGTTTAGGAATTCAGGATTTCAGTAGTGTGGATGAAGAATTTTGTTCTCAAGGCCAAAAACCAGTCTGAGGCATGTTTAAGTTTGCACTATAGAGGTGACAGCCATGCTTACTTATCGGAAACCACTTGAATTACAAACATGTCCATTCAGACTGGTAGTAAAAATACCTATAAATCTATCCCACTTTTTTTCATACATGCAAAACTAAATTGGTGTACTTCAATTTTAGTAATCTTGTAATCTTTAAAACAAACAACCAAAACAGAAACCTAAAAAAACCACAAGTTGAATGGAGGAGGTATTGGTTTTCTTGCAATTCGGGTTGTTTTTCAAGCATAGCACTTCCGGTATCTGTAGATGTGCTTTCCACCTTTCCTACTACAAAAAGAAAAACATGACTGCAGTAGATTGCTGACTTACTATAGGTGTACTGACTTGTGGCTGGTGTACAGAGCTTCCTACTGTTCAGGTACTGAATATATTACAGTGGTGCTACATGTGTTCTGAAAAACTTGCCTAATAATCCAAGAGCACTGACTAAATGGTGTTCCTATCTGACCACCCGTGCTTTCTCCTGAAGTGCAAGTGTGTGTCTCACTGATCCTCTTGTTTACAGTGGCTCCAGTTGGTGTGACTGCGATCAGTGCAAATAAGCTAGCTTTCTCAAGGGTTAAGAAAGAATGAGGAAGGATGTAGAGGTTAGTAAGCTGAAGTTCACGTCTGTTAAGACTGAAGAGTCCAAAGTAGAATTTTCATGAATGAGTTACCAATCTGCTAAATTTATGTAGTCAGTAAATATTGTACTTGAGCCTGTGCAAGACATCAAAGTGACTGATTTCTTCTTGAAGAAGAGTTCTTCAGAGGGCTGAGATGTTCAGGGCTGATGCTAGTCTTACTCTGAACAGGAACCAGTCAGACTGCTTCCTTCCACTGGCTAGGGGACAAGATCTGTCTTGGCTATCTGCCCTGGAGTAGATACTTAGATTTGATCTCTGCTTATTCTTTCATCACTGACTTAAGTGATCTGCTGGCCAATTATTCTTGCACAAGGGCAACTTGCTAGAGTGCTACAAATAGCAAACTGACATCTGCAGTGTTGGATTGGACTTTACTCTCAGCTAACCCTTTATTTAGTATCATTTCTCTGATTTAGATATTAAGGATTTAAGAGAAATTCAGGTAAAACCATGCTCAATGACATTTGTGTTAAATAGAAACTTAATTTAGGGTTCTGTCTTCACTGCTCTGAGGGAGGAGTTCCAAGATACAGTTGGTAGCTATGTAAACCATGTTGCAAACAGGAGTCTGAGGTGCTGTGGCAAAAGCTGGTTCAAGCTGCTGGTCTGAAGGAACTATGCTTTTCTAGTCTTGGAGGAGGAACGTTCCTGGGCCTTTGCTGTCTGCTGACTGGCTGTGAGACATTTGAAGAAGCACTAGAAATGGCTGCAAAAGGAGACAGCACCAATGTGGATAAGCTGGTGAAGGATATTTATGGAGGAGACTATGAGCGGTTTGGCCTTCAAGGGTCTGCTGTAGCCTCAAGGTATGTGTTAATTGAGCTGGTTTTAAGGAGTTCCTTGGGAAACTTACTGTGCATGCTGAACTGAGTGCGTAATCCCTGGACTATGTACTAGGTCCATGTGGAAATGTCACTCTGAATGTATCATGTTGTTTGCCCTTAGATCTCTCACCTACTTGCCTTTTTTTTAAACAGGTGTAAGCAGTGCTTGGTGTAGTTTGCCTCAATTTAAATTACAGTTATTTTTAGAAATGTCTTTGCTTATTGTTGTGCCTTTCCAGTGAGATGCCTTTTCACATTTCAGGTCTGTCTCAAATCAATGGATATCAAATCCAAGCAAAGCTTATTAAATGATAAAATTTCTAGGGGCTTATAGCGCTACTGAGTAACTCATATTAAAAGGAATAATCTTCCTCACACAGCTTTGGTCATATGATGAGTAAAGAAAAGAGAGATTCCATCAGTAAAGAGGACTTGGCCAGAGCTACTTTGGTCACCATCACCAACAACATAGGTTCTATTGCTCGCATGTGTGCATTGAATGAGGTAAGATAGCATATTTACTATGAGCTTAAAACCTTTAGAAACAACATAGTAAGATTATCAGAATATAAAAATGCAAATTGGAGGTATAGCAAGCGCATAGCTGGCCTTGAGAAATACGTATGCGTTTAATGTGGTGTCCTAACTCTTGTGATTTGTGTTATGTGTATGCTTTGGTGCAAAAAGTAAGGTACTTTGAGCTTCAAAGGTAGGGAAGAAAGGAGAAAGGTTCACTGTAAAGATCTCCTTGAACCATTGGTGCCTAGAGCTTTCAGTTGCTCTTAAACTGTATGTAATACATAGTGTATTAACACCTTTGTAATCCACATTAATACTCCCAATTACCTTGTAGTTATTAACAGATCTTACTCATTACTTTTTTCTTTTTTTTTTTCCCCCCCAATAGTATTTTGTTTGGCTTTTTTCCATAACATGATGGGTTTAAATCATGTATTGTGTTAAATGTTTAGATATGAGATCCATTGTATTTGGTCAGAAAGAAGAAAAATATAGTTCATTATTCTGCCTCAAACTCCTTTCAGATGCTATTACATTATTTTCTTTAGAATGATAGCTATAGATGGATTGTTCCATTCATACACCTTTCCAGCTTCTAGCAGTTTAAAAAACAGAACACACACCCCTTAAAAAAAACAACCCACAAAACCACCCCCTCAAAAAAAAACCCAAAACCCAAAAAACTATCACCCCCCAAAAAAACCCAAACCAAACAAAACTAAAAAAAAAACCCCGACAAAAAAACCCCACCAAACAACAAAACCAACCCAAAACAGACAAAAAAAACCCACAAAAAAAACCAACCCCCCAAAACAAAACAAAGAACCCCAAATCAAACCTAAATTGCGTCCTTTGCTATTTCATGGTAATTAATCTTTATCTGCTCTCAATTAATTTATCAAATCTTTTTCTTTTTTTTAATACGTGATGTCTTTAGCTCCACAGCATTCTGTGGTTAGAAGAAAGTGCTGCTTGGTTTGTTTTGTTTTTTCTGGGTTTTTTTTTTTAATCAACAGTACACCCACACAGCTCCCCAAACCCCCAATAAAACAAACCCAAGAAACTCACCAAACTGCCATCTGATTCCTTTATTGGGTCCTATCTAGCATTTTGTTTTATGAGAAACAGCAAATATTGCTTTTGGTGGGTTTTGGTTTTTAATAAACCTTTACCACATCTCCCTCTTGGTCTTTCCAAGACAGAAAGTCATCATACTTAATCTCCCCTGCTATGGAAGGTGCTCCGTGTCTCTCTTCCACTGTTTCATTTTGTCTTTTTAATATTTTAGGGTTCTAATTTGGAGATCAAATGATCAGATCTTCATGCAGTATTCAGAGTGTGGTTGCACAATGAATTTATGTGGTGTCATACTGATAAACTCAGTGTTCTGAGTTCCTTTACTAACAGTTCTTAATATTTAATTTTTGTGACCATGGATCTCATTTTTTGAAACCATCCACAGTCTTGTTTGAGGGTAGCTAATTTGGAGCCTATCATTGTGTCTGAATACTGAAGTGTCTCTCTCTCATCCCCCTCCTATTTATGTCATTTCACATTTTTTTAACTTAAACTTCATCTGTTATTTTATTCCTTGGCCACTGTGTGTCTCTTCAACATTACTGTGCTGCTAATTTTTTATCCTGACTCTCCTGACTATCTTTGTATGCCAATACATGTTACGTCTTTTGCTAATATTCCTTTGTGTTTGTTGCTGATATTCTTCTGTAGGGCACTTTTAAAATATATTGAATAGGACAAATCTTAGTGTCTGCCCCTATCAAATGCCACTGATAACCTCCCTTCATCATGAAGAGTGGCTACAGGCATTATTTTTTTTCTTTTTGGCGGTTTGACTCTTTCAATCAGGATGATTCTCTTTCAGTGTTCTCTTTGCTTTCAGCTTCTTTACAGTGTTGCCTTGTGGCATGGAGTTCAAGCAGCATTGTACAGGGCTATCAAAGCATGGAGAGTTGCATCAGGGAACAACATGTGATGCATTCAGAGGAGGAAATGGGCTACTAATGAAACTAATGCTTCTGAGTCGCTGTGAAAAAGTTCCTAACATCTTTGTTTTGTGGGCGGGCTTACTTAAGAACTGGACATGATCCACAGAACTTTGTGGAGGAATGTAGATTAATGTGTAAAGTATTCTTCATTTTGCAGACAATGTCTTCTCCAACACATGAACTAAGTTATTTTGTAGCTTTAGAGAATGAAACCTTCATTTAGTAGCTTTACATACTATTAAAAAATTCAAATATGATATATCATTGCAAGTAAGCTGATCTCCAGAGAGCTTGCTCTCAGGGGCGTGAGGAGGTAATACTATTGTTTTGCTAAATAATCTAGATACTTAAATTCCTTTTGGGAGATATGTCTCTTACTGTCACCACGCTTGATGAATGAAATGCCTAAATAAGAGATTAAAAAACAGTTGAATATGATATATCATATATCACCAGCTGAACCCAGGACAATTCTTTTGTGGAGTTTTTCTGTATTAGATTAGGGTTATGGTGAAGCTCACTTTTAAGTTCTTTGTCAAAATCAATTTATGCCCTGAAGCATGAGTTTTGGTTTTAGTTTGTTGTGTGGTGGTGGTGGTGGTGGTTGGGGTTTTTCTGGTTGCTTGTTTGGTTTTTTTTTGGGGGGGGAAGGGGTGTTTTTGAGGTTTTTTGTTTTTGTTTTTTCAATGATTGCAACTTTAATATTGTGTTGAAAATTACTTACATATGTGCAGAAAAAAAAAACGAGGCTGGGGAATAAATGAAATACTCTGTCTGCAGAACTTCAAAGCAAAGTTTGCTTGCACAAAGTTGGCAGTGGGGTAGAAAAATTCCATAGTCTGGAACCATTTGGCTACACAACATTTGAAACAGCCTGTCCTAGGCACAGCAGAACTACATAAAGGAAACCAATCTCCCTGGTTTATACTTTTCTTACTAGCAAAACATGTAAGTTGCATCTGAACCAGACTTCTTGCAAAAACATGTGCAGGAGCGTATTTTTTATTGCATCTTTAGTAGAGATTCCTCTGTTCAATTATATTGGAAATACATGTGCAACTATATTGAACCTATATTATTATAGCTTTCTTCTGCAGGGTAGTTGAACAATTTAGCAAGACCCTACGAAGCAAAAGAGTCTTTTCCATGATGTTGTAATTTGGTTAGCTTAGTCATTTTGTCACTATCAGTTCATCAGTTTAAGACTTCTGTCTTACAGCTTTGAATGTTTCAGCAGTGAACAATTTAAAAGTAAATTGGCAAGACTCCCTTAAGAGATAAAAGGAGCATTTCTTCATTTTCTGACTCCTGAAATATGCCAAAGCTGGTTTTAGTTCAGTTCAAAAACCTAGAAAACTTTTAACATAATTTTTAACCTAGTCAAGTCAAACAATGTTGGAAAATAAAATTGATGCAAAATTTGCATGTCAGTATAACATGCAAACATATGTAACTCTATACTCAGTGTTAGGTACTGCTTGCGTGGAGTTTTGGTAACAGTAGCGTATGTACATTCAGCAAAAAATACACATTCATGAAAATTAAATCCAAACGTAGATTTTAATAAATTTGATGGCATTGCATTACAGGCAATTAATTAGTTACATGTCCCTCCTTTGTCAGAAATTACTTCAGAGACAGAACAGCCTTGTCAGAGGATGCAGAGTGCTTTAGGCTCTGTTCAATAGCAGCCTTTTGAAAATTGAGAATTTCTTCTTTGCAGCCATAAAAGTTCCCAGGAAGTAGTATGAATGTATTCTGATGTGGCTGCAGAGTCTATGGGGACAGATGACTATAAACCTGAACTATTTAAATAAAGTTTGTGTTGATGTTTGGTTTGAGGACAGTCAGACATATAACTCAGTCGTCAGAGAGAAGATGAACGATTGCATCTGGCTATTAGCACTCTCCAATACTGAGTATTCGAGTGAGGATGTCACATGCACAGTACTGGACATGACAAAACTGCAGGGAAAGTAGTTGCTGCAGAGCCAAGCGTTGGGCTTTATAGAGCTGTATGAACATAGAAAAGTAACACTTGGTAATTCAAGCCCCTATGCAGGTTTTTGCTGGTAATTTTCAGCAGTGGACTCTTGAGGATATATTTGTAGGGCTCCTTCAGGACTCCCGTAAAACTTTGTCTCCAGAATGGCCTTATGGCCTCCCACTGAGTCTTCTAGACAGATTTTGCTGTATGACGAACATCTTCTGGTATACCAGTTCAAAATGCAAGTGTGTTTTTGTGCATAGCGGGCAAAAGTGGACTTGCTGAGATAATTACGGGCATTGTTCGAGCACCAGAACTGTTGCTTACATGCACTGAATTGCATATAGGTAATGATAGTGTGTGGCTTTCTTACTGATGGTGTAGTGCTGATTGTTCAAAAATCTTAAGCTTCTGTATGGAAACTGAGTACAAGTGAGCTTTGAAATGAAGGAATGCAATATATTCAAATATCATGTAGGCCATGTTTCACTTGCATTCTGAAAATGAAACCACAGTCCAGATAATAGATAATGAAAGATGCTTTTTCCCATCTGTAGTGTAATCCTTCTTGGACACCCTTCAGAGGCTGTCCATCTGGATTTAATAATCATAGTGATCTCTGAAGAGTTGCTTCATTTAACCAACAGGGGGGGAGTTGTCTTCTGTGCAGCCATGTCATAGTCATATATGATTTAAAAATACATCTCCTACACCTCCTCCCCCTCAAAAAAAAAAACCAACCCGAACAATCACAACCTCCCCACCCCCCAAAATATAACAAAACAGTCATAACCCTGTTCACACTGGGAAGGTCATGCGCTTTTAAGCAAATATTCACTATATTCACCATCTGTGATACCAGCCTCTCACTTTCTTTGGAATTAAACTTGTTTTTTCTCTTGCAACATCTCTACTTAGCAGTTAGTAACTGTAACTAATTTTCAGTCTGGAGAATTTAAATGTTATCTAAAATTCCCATTTAACTTTATAGTGGAGGTAGGAAGTACATGTCGGATGAGGCAAATAATGTAGCTGAATATAATTTTTGCTGGTCTGCATTTCAATTTTACAGAACATCGACAAAGTGGTTTTTGTTGGCAACTTTCTCAGAATTAATATGATTTCTATGAAGGTGCTAGCATATGCAATGGACTATTGGTCCAAGGGACAGCTGAAAGCTCTCTTTTTGGAACACGAGGTAAGGAAATACATGTCAAACTTACTTTTCTTTGTAAGTACAAAAATCTTGTGTTTCTTGGTGAAATTAAATGGGAGAGTTTCAATGCTATTGCTCTGAAGTGAATGCACAAACTTAAATTAAGCATAAATATAATTACAAATTCATTTGAAAATATCCCTTGTAAATTCCCTGGCTTCATCACTAATCTTGTGGTATTTGTTGCTAAACATTGTACGTCTCTTATTTTTGCTCTCTGACTGTAGTACCGACAAGGTTTTTGCATTTTTGTATTTTGCAGTTTGTATTTTGCAGTTTGTATTTTGCATGGTCTGGTGTTTAAATCTGTACTAGAATTAATTTTGTAAGCGTAATTTTGAAGGGTATATCAGATGGATGTGTTCATAATGGAAACTGACCTATCTCAGTATAGCATCGTTATAATGGTTCTGTAATTCCTTCTTTTGGCAATTTTGGAGAACTGTCTGAGATGTCTCCTGGTATAAGGCCCTTTCTTGGACCTAAACAAGATCATATTAAAGAAAATACTTGGCATAACAGTCTTATCAGAAAGGTCTTTTAATTGCCTTAACAGAACTGAAGACTTTACATGCTCATGCTTATGTCTTGTTTTGGGATTTAATTGATTGGTTTTGTTTTGCCTTTGCCTTTTTTAAAGGGTTATTTTGGAGCTGTTGGGGCTCTTCTAGAATTGCTTAAAATGACAGATGATCAGTGATGAAGCTGTCTGAAGAGATTCCTACTGCAGATGCTGCTGGATAAGAGTGAAAGCCACTACAAGGATGGAAATGAAGCCATTATGGTAGTTCTACCTGCTGGATTTGTAAATAATTTAAAATTCTTTTAGCTGATCTTTAACTTCTGGGTTTTGAGCTTATACTTCAGAATTCATATTGGGAATAATGAGAATTTTTTTCTGTACACTGTATTTTTTAAGGGAAAAATGTGCAAAGCGGCCAAACATACAGATTTTATGGATTTATTTTAAAAAGCAGATACTGTTTAATGTATAACCTGTGATATGAGGCATCTGCTTTTCTTCTGGGGTTTACTGATTAGTGTGATAATTTTAACTTCATTTAGTAATCACTCTAGGAGATTTTTTATCTTATTTTCATGACGTTTCATGGTTTGTTCTTGGTTTCAAATGAAACTACAAAGCTGATGCATTTTACTGTGAAAACTAGTTGTTGATTTTATTTGCCTTTCCTTTCTTCATTGATGAGACACTTTATTATTTAACATCTTCCCCACTCCCCCCCCCCGAAAATAAATTTACAAACTTTCTATGACTACATGGCTTTCTTGGCAAGACTTGAGAAAACTTGGCGGGGGAGGGGGTTTAAGATTCTAATGTTTTCATTAGTCATTACTTGCAACAGGAACAGAGTGCTAAGTGATTTTGCAGGACTAATTCTCCTTTATGTTAAAAACTTTAAACAAGACGTGAACTAAAATCTTAATTATTTGCTTGTTTACAAACTTTCTATGACTACATGGCTTTCTTGGCAAGACTTGAGAAAACTTGGCGGGGGAGGGGGTTTAAGATTCTAATGTTTTCATTAGTCATTACTTGCAACAGGAACAGAGTGCTAAGTGATTTTGCAGGACTAATTCTCCTTTATGTTAAAAACTTTAAACAAGACGTGAACTAAAATCTTAATTATTTGCTTGACACTAAAATGAACTCCTGTTCCTGC